TATCAGTCGAAGTTTAGAAAGCGATTGTTCAAAAACCCATCCTATTCCATCCTCAATGAAGTACGCAGCCACGCCCTCCCCATCTTTGGGAAAGCATTTCGAAACTTGGCCCACAATATGACCTTCGAGCGCTGAGTCGATTCCACCGTAACCACACTACAATTGATTTTTAGTGCTTATTTTGAGCTAAAACATTACCTGCATCATTTCGATTTGTTCTCTACTGTTCTCCTTTGCAGCGTAGTCTTCTTTCATTACATCTGATGTCCCGGCGCGAACGTCACCGTCAATTCGATTGTCGAAATAGTAGCGCGTTCCCGACACAACATATCCTCCTGTATCGTTTATTCTTCAATTTGCGCTATATTTTTCATCAAAAAATTCACTTGTCTTTAAGGTCGTAAGGAAAACCTACCTTTTCAGTGATCCGCCTACTGAGCATTAGCCTCCTTCTCCCCCCCCCCACCACCCCGCTCCCTCGCCTGCTCCAATCTAATGTGACTCAATTCCACGAAAATTCTTTCAACCAGGACACCCTTGAAAAGCCGGAAACCCTGATCAAATCAAAAACCCTTGAACGCTCTGCATTCATTTGATCGAGGGTTTTTGATATGATTTCCGGATGCCTTCTCTTTACGTGGTAGCCTGTCCAACACGCAAACACACAGAGTGACATCGTTCGTGACACAAAAATACGTGATAAGGACCCTAGCCAGTCATGTTGAGGTCAATAGCCCGCCCTCTGTCCAAAACAACACCTAAGTTTCATTTTTAAAGAATTCCTGGTTGCGCGGTTACTCCGCCTTACTAACTCTCTATCCATTCCGAATGGCGAAGGCAAGGGAATAAGGGAAAAGGGATGGTATCAGTAAGTGCGGACGTCCGGCCACGCTCACTCTTCGCCCTATGCACGTGCAAGCTCGGTTCGGCCTACATAAAAGGACGAGGAACCCACCCGAAATGCCGAGTCCTACATGTGGCATTTCGGGTGGGTTTCTCGTCCATTTTCCTTCACTATTGGACCGCTTCATCACAATTCACCATTTTTGAACGGAGGTGTGCCTTAGAAGGCTGCTTCAGCCCATCTACTAATGGGCAACAGCCGCTCGCGGCCGCAGCAGTCCTGTCCAGTGCCCATATTCAGGCGAAACAGATGATAGGAGGGGTCAGAGCCTGAAGAATGGTGGGATATGGTACTGCATCAGAGCCCAGCTCTTCATTATTTGATAGGAACAGGTCAGTTTCCTGCTCGTCCCTCGCACTGGCAAAGAAAAGTGCTCATTGCTGTCTGCTACCTCCCAAGAGATAAGTGCCTGGTAGTTCCGCAACAGGCCAATAGGAGGGGCACCAGGCGATGGAGAATAAGTTCAAGGCCTTGTCTTCGGCTCCACTGGCCCTTCGCCTCGCCCATATATCTGGCAGCGTTAATAATAAGTTAAATCCTAGTCCAGGGGATGAGAAGAGAAGGCAGGGGAGAGCTCCCTGTCTACCCACTCTTCTCATCCTCTGGACGCAGCTTTTGCTTACCCTGTTCTCTTTTCACAGCGGTTGTTCTCCGAAGCTATCTGAACTCCCACGGTGGGCTTCCCAGTAAGGTTGAGCTGACCAAGTCGGTTTTGGCTCCAATGTGGGCGTACTGGCGATTTCTCTCTGTACTTGCTTCTTAGTCCGCATTTCGGTCATGACGCTCCTGCAGGCACAAAGAAAGCATTCCTTTGAACAGTGATTTCTTCAGGCTGAATATCGTTCACCTCTTATAGTGGGTGGAAAAAGAAGGGGTCCGAGCTAGCCAAAACTTAAGCCGCGTGGGCTGATTTTGACCTGTTCTTTTTTGGTATGCGAAATTTTCGTTCGGCCTTTGATGATTCTTGCCCACGTTCTGCAGTCAGATTGTAGACTGCAGCCAAACTGATGCTGTTTTCTGAAATTCGAACAATTTGGGGTCATACCGTAGGGGTTTAGAGGGTTCCTCAGTAGTGGACCTTTTTTCTATTCTCTGGCTCCCACCTAATCTAGGATTGCCTGGTGGGCGGAGCTGGGAGACGGAGTCTTTTGGCGCCTCTTCTTCTGCCCTCCTTTTGTGGCACGGATGAAGGCACCGAGGACGTAGTTTGCTGGGCTGCGCCGATCCGCATATCCGTACAGTGTTTTCTCAGGACTTCAGCTACAAATATGTGTTTGGCCTGTTTTTTTAAGAAAGGGGCATTGGGGGCGCTTTCGCTAAGTCCTTTTAGCTAGTTCCTAGTAACAACACGGCTCAACATTTCCGTGGACCTTAAAGCTTGTGGGCTTGAGCGGCCTTCTGCTAATTGCATAGATGCTTACAGGAATTTAACAGTCTCCAAGTGATGAAGAGAAAATGCCCCTCCCAAACCGGACTGCGCCGATAAGTCCCAATAAACTGGCTTGTTCGAGGGTTAAAACCAACGGAAGTTGAAGAATGGAAATTGGAGCCTAACACGACGATTTTTCTGATTATTTTGCGACTCTAAAAAAAGGAATTGGGTAGTAGGAGAAGGTGCGTCAAAGGAGTAGAAATAGTAGGAATCGATCGATTCTCCCTTTCTCCTATTCTTCGAATTCACCAGACAAAACTAAGGTTCTCTGGATGCACTCCTCCATTTTCCGATTTTTCCCCGTCAGTCCCGATCCTCCTATTTTCCGAGAGGCCGGATCGATACCTACCCTCACCCTCGCACATACTTACCTACTCTCCTATTCGCGTATTCGCGCCATGTGCTTACGCTGGTCGCGTTATGCACGCAGTCTTACCCAGGGCACAGCATTGTTGGGGAATCCCCAACAGGGGCGGTCGTACTTGGCCGCCGGGAGATGGGGTCGTATTTGGGCTGAGAAAAATTTATTTTGATAGTTGATTTTGTCACTTCACGCGGCCGTTTGTAAAGGGAGAGGGGTCGCTACTTGCTGCTCGATTGTTGGGAAGAAGAGGGTAGTCGTATTTGCTTTCTGTTCTCCTGGGAGTTGTGGTTGATTTTGCCTGTTAATGCGTACTATATACCCTGATGAGGAGGGACAGGAGGGCCGAATGGGGGGGGTCCGTACCAACCCCCCCCAGAAAAAAAAAGGGAGACTTCAAAAAATACAGACTCGTACTAGACTCGAACTATAAATCCCCAACCAATGATGTGCCCTGGTCTTACCGCCTCAGCTACCCACGCAAATGAAAGGGATCCGATTCGATCCCGTCAATACGACCAGCTTCAAGAGCACACTGAAAACGAATCTACAGTACCTGCAGAAAAATTTGTGGTGGTTACAGGGATCTCCTGTGTGGTTGATGATGCGACTGCAGACGAATCCAATGGACTGGACTGGTTCTCTCCATAGTCACCGTCTTGCCCTTCTGCCGTTCCGCTGATCGTTTCGGCTTTCACGGACATGAAAGCGTGATCGGCACGTTCAAGTGAATTCACCAGCGATTCGGTGACTGCGAATGGCTGCTCGTCATCATACTGCAAAACACAATCTTTAAAGACACATAGTAACGGCTCATACACATTGAGGGTGTATGAGACTATCAGCCCCAGATGTCGATGTGTCGTGGTCCCCCCGCCCAAACATGCCCAGGAATGGAGATACAGGGCCGTGAAACACGCTAATTCTTCCATGCTCCGCCCACTGCCTTTTTACGGCGCAGATTCCCGCCGTTCATAACATCCGTTGCAAGCGCGCCTGTCGCGTGCGGCTCCTTGGCACTTTGCCAAGTCCTTTAATTGCGCTCTCAAATACAAGTAAAACGCAATTTCCTGATGCGGATAACATTGGAGGTGCTACAAAATAAGAGCAGAAGATGATGACAAGGGGCAGAACTCAAGAGCAACTCGGCTGCATCTGCAGTATCCATCAAGGGCCGCGCATTCCCACAAAACATGAAAATAAAAACAGCCCAAGCGTCCCACTCGTTTGTTCTAAGTATTTCTATGGCTTTGGCGCCGGATCGTAGAAATTTACAGGCCAGTTTATCTAATTTGCCTTTCCTTGTTTTTTTTTCATTTTTGTTTTGTTACATTTACATCGTTGTGCTTCATTTCTAGCCTGTGTCATCTTCAATCTCCTTGTACATGGATTGAAGCATGCGGCAACACCTTACATTTTATTCGGCATCAGGAAAATTGCGTTCTTGCTTGTATTAAACTAACGAGTATGCCGTTTTTAGTTTTTATTTTCATGTTTCGTGGAAATACGTGGCCTCCGAGGGATGTTGCAGAAGTGGCACAGTCGCTTTTAGGTTCTGACCCTCGTCATCATCTTCTGCTCTTATTTTGTAGCACCTCCAATGTTATCCGCATCAGGAAATTGCGTTTTCCTTGTATTTGAGAGCGCAATTAAAGGACTTGGCAAAGTGCCAAGGAGCCGCACGCACACGCGACAGGCGCGCTTACACGGATTATTACGGCGGGAATCTGCGCCGTAAAAAGGCAGTGGGCGGAGCATGGAAGAATTAGCGTGTTTCACGGCCCTGTATCTCCATTCCTGGGCATGTTTGGGCGGGGGGACCACGACACATCGACATCTGGGGGGCTGATAGTCTCATACACCCTCAATGTGTATGAGCGTACTATGTGTCTTTAAGTGAAACTAGATATTCATGATACTCATAATTCCAGGCCTTCTGTTTGGGAACTCTGTCCGAATAGCGCGGCATTAACACCGAATTGCAAACAACTTGTCGCACGATAAACCCGACAGAGGACTTCACTAGGTCCGACTTAAGAGATGTTTGTGAATCGGAGAACCCGACCGAGACCACTGGCCACCGGTCCTGTTCGCCCCCCCCCTTGATAATTAATGAGCGGTGGAGTACATACTTTTAGGAGCCAGGTTCATCTCTAGCTATCATGACTGTATCTCCCAGGTGGTACCATCCAGTCACTCCGGAGCTCTAGCGGCTTGGTCGGTGTGATCCAATGACAATATGGGAATCGTTCAATCGGCAGCGAGCGCCACTCAAGACTACCGACTAGAGTTCCGGGGCGAGTTAATGGGGGGGGAGAGGTGGGAAGCCAGGGTGGGGACTGTGTAGCGTCCTTATTTGCTCCCCAACTGCACTCAGAGATTGTGTGGAATGGTTATTGTCCACATCGGAGAGCAGCAAGAGGCCAGACCGCATTCTCCGAGACGGCTCTCTTCTCTTATACGCTGGTTTCTGCCTCGATTTCTCCAGCTCTCGCAGCCACGCCTCTTGCTGCGCCCAGATACAGACTGAGCATGCACCTTCCTGTCCGCAATCGATTTTAACCAAACTATGCCTTCAAAGCTATCTTGGACCATCTCGACGAGGAGGCGCAGACGAGCACTCACGACGCGGCACATTCGCGCTATCATGTGCTCCCCCCCAACCACATTTGTCCCGGCCCTTCCTTCAACAGTACAACCTGCATAAAATACAGAACACGTACCTCTGCAGGATTTGGTGGTTGTAACTCCCCATCGAATAGTGTCCTTCCAGTTGGCTAAATAGATCACATTTCTGATGGTACAGCCGAAAAGATGGATGATACAAATCAAATAGGATAAAAAGAGACAAATTCGCGCACCTGTCTACGAATTTCATGCTCTACTTTGATGTCGACATTGTCAAAGAACGTCTCATTAAGCCGTTCATAGTCAGCGTCAAAATTGTCATCAAGAGGATTATAATTTGGTCGCTTCAAGGACAATGGAGGATTCTGAACAGATAGTTTTATGGGGCAGTGATCAGGACCGCTGTCGCAGCAAGCACGCGACCATGTTGGCGTTTTAGCCACAGCTGGTGTCAATGAATACATTAGAGTTCACACATACCGACAACACAGTAGGCAACCTGGGTTTAGTTGCGGGATCCAAAACGATGGAAAAAAACCAGGAGTTTGCGAGAAACGAGTGTCACACCGGACAGACTTAAAAGCAGTGAGCATACTCTTGTTCGCTGCGAGTGATGGGGCGTATCAAAGGAAGATGGGTTTGGCGCAGCGCCAACGAATTTTTTTCCTTTCGGTAAGCGACGAAACTGTACCATTTCGTTAGTATCAGCCATTTCACCTTTTTTCCAAATGTGGTTGCCTACAGAACGGGCTGGGGCGCGCCAAACTCAACCTGAGTGACCCCTTCACCTGTAGCGAACAAGCACATATCCTAACTTGGGTAGCCGGTAATAAAATGACACCCGGAGGCCGTGCTGAATTCTGAGTCGGACGTGAGTGAACAACTGCGAACGAAACTCTGAAGTGTCCCAATTTCCGTTGAATGGGACCACTAACCCTCCGAGTACGAGTTGGTTTATCGCTGCCACATCAATCACAAGGCATCATCAGGGTCGGCGCCTCCCACGCTCGAAACAGACACTCGCCCCGCCCGATAATGCCGCCTACTTTCTTAAATTCCGTCGCGTGGGGTTCGCACTCGATTTCAAAAGGTGTTCTACACTTTTAAAAGCTGAAGTCGTCTATCGGCTATATCAACAGTGGTGGACCATGACACTATGTCTTCTATGCTGTAATTAGGCAGACTTGAATATCTACTTACAGCGCTACTAAGCCTGCTGCGATTACCTGAAAAGGGGTCAGCCCGACGCCCTTTGTCTGCCTAGTCTGTAATAAGGGGTAAAGCAGACGACGAAGCAGGGCATAGCATCGCTGAGAGAATCCTACGAGAAGGATCGCTTCCTGTTGCACGGAATAGGGGAGGGGGAGCACCGTGCTGGCCTTGAAAGGACAAACTGTACGCCTCATTTGCGTGAGGCATGGTCCCTGACTATTACGTAGAACACAATCGCGTCCGATAGCTGCCGGAACAGCGTAGCCACTTTCTCGGCTTCGCGAAAGCTGCCACGGAAACGGAGCGCTAGGGGTACGGGTACCCGCAACGCTGTGTTAGAATATTCGCGGGGCGGGGCGGAGGCAGCGGGATTGTCGGTACCGAATGGGGGTTAGACCTACCAATGCACAACCATGTTCACTTTGCTGTATCCTCTGCGAGAAAGAACCTGAGCAAATAGCACGCGCGGAGGCGCAGCGACAAAGCCCGTTGAAGGGTTGCAAGCCTGCACGAGCGAGAAAAGAATGTGCCCAGGCATGACATATCCCCACCCCCCCCCCAACCCCCTCCTTCCCCCCTCGCTCTACGAGAAGTCATTCAGCACGCGCTTGCCTGGAATCCCAAAAAATAAAAGCAGAAAAAGCTGACTGACAAAAGGGGCAAGACCATCATTGCTGTGCTACATTTTTGCTCCTTGAGTGACTCTTTTTGCAGCGTTTGCACGAAGAGCCCTTCACACACATTCTCTCTACACAACGGACCACATCTTATGCTCCGCCCACCGGATAACTCCGCCCCTTTTTGCCCCGATACAATTTACATGGTTACCATGGTTACAGTGTTATACGCGTTATAGTGATTTTTCATACTATTCATCTGTTACACATATAGAACCTTGAATACACTATAACACAGTACTACACTTGACTCCGCCCCGACGACTCCGCCCACTTATTAATGGATTTACTGAGAATTTCGCCACTTTATAACTCTATTCGTCGGCAGTTCTAAGGGCCCACTGAGGTCGTCTAGCAATGCGGTGAACTCCTTGTTTTTCATTAGGCCTTCATTAGTTAAAATTTGTGTCCCACCTGTGGTTTCCCACTCGCTTGTGTTGACTCGTTAGAATCCCTGAAATATCACTCGTCAGAAAATGATTCATCAAAATAAGAAGTGAGGGGTCACGAATTTCCAAGTCTTTTGCCTAACTGGGTCCTGCCAAGAAAATGTGACCCACCGTGTCCGAGTTGTGTTAGTGGAGAACATAGAAAGCCTTCGTAGTAGTGGATTATCGGTCAATATCCGTTGTATTTTCTCCGGTGTCATGTAGAAAACATCTGGAATACATGTAGATGGTCCCTAGTGGATTTTAGGGGGAGAAGCGAGACTAGACCATGCTAATTTTGCGCACAAAGTTATCCAACTTTTCCTACTCGATAGCGCTTTAGACCGTACTTGAGCAGAGAATGGGAATTCCCCGGCGGGGTCATATTCGGTTCCGGGAGTTCTACATGGTATGAGAATGTTTTCATTAGGTAATTTTTCCTGACAGATTCCCCTAAAGGGATGGTGGGTATTTGCTTGTTGTTCGGAGTGAGGGGAGAGTATCCGCCTTTTCTACGCCTCTACCCTGGCTCGACAGAGAAATTTTGTAGAAACACGTGGAAAATCCTTGGGAAATTTAAGAAAAACTGGTAGGAATCTTGGAAAAGTTGGCAAGATGATAGGTTGGATGCGGAGGGGGGGTGCATTAGAGGGCGGGACTCAGGGGGAGGTAGTATTTTACAAATATTTTTCCAAGCGGCGCCGTTTGCCCGGAGTGTAACTCAAGAAGTGCCAACATTGCTTACCGTCTACTTCCTGTGTGATCTCGTCCACAGGAATTTCTTTTATCCGATTGTAGTATTCTGAAAAAATTGCGATACATTAAAATAAATAAACAAAGTTATGAATAAATAAATAAATTTATGGCAGTGTAGGGAGCATTTTTGAAATTCGGAAATCGGGAGATCTTTATAGCGCCCAAGCCCAGCGCCAGTTGATTTTATCGCCAACCATTTTTTTTTCTTTAGCCGAGAACTTGTTTCTGCTTTTTTCGATTCTACGCTGAACACCACACCTCTTGAGAAACATTCCACGACAGTAGCATGGGCGGAGACAGATAATCATGTGTTTGCCTCACGTGCTCTCCTTCTAAGATGGTAAAGAGGAAGGGCGCATGGTATGTCTCTGTCTCCACCCATACGCGAACCGCGGAATGTGCCTCTATTAAATCGCGTTGGGATGTTCCTACTAATTTTCAACCGTTCGATCAATAAACTCAGTCCATTGTTAACTACTATGGCACAGTTTCCGAACCATTTCAAGGTCTTATCGCTCACCCTACGGCACGACCAGAGGAAAGAGCGGAATCCCCTTGGCTACTCATCTGTTGAGAAACACGATCTGGTTTCTCACGGTAATTTCGCCCGAGTAACTAGAATTCCTATCTTGCTACGGAGGTGAACAGGTAATTTCTGGGTCAGCGATATTGTCCAAAAATTAGCCGTGTTCTCGTGGGAAATTACCCGAACTCACCTTTTGGTGATTCAAGGACGCTCGCCTTTTCAATAACAGCCGTTCGAACAATTGAAAGAAGGCGAAGGCAGAGAATTACCACCGCGATTGTCCACGTGGTCATCGTGGGCAGATGACCGATGGCGCCTGAAACGAGCGTCGGGCATTGATCTTTGCACTGAGAATGAGAGATACTTCACCCAATTTGAGGGAAAAGTTCCTTAGCAGCAAATAAACATCAACATTCTTGACTTTTTCGCACATCATTGAATGTCAGGGCACTAAAAGTCGAGCCCTAGAAAGAAGAAAAAAAGGAAGCAGAAACGCCATACGCTCGCCCAACAGAGAAAAAGGATAAAGCCTCCCCTTATGGCCAATCCCGCTTCACTATGCGCCACTACTTATACTCGAAATCCCTGAGATCGGGTAGGCGTGGCTGCGTACTTGATTTTAAAATGGCGGCGGCCCAGGTTTTCGTGAGATATTTTCATTTTGGAACAGTCGTAATCATGTCTACATCTAACATAGAACAAGATGGCAGTTGTTTCAAATTGAAGTATCCCACGAGTAGCCCGTCCTATGCCATGCTCAAAAGCCACGCCTACTCCGTCTTCGGGATAAGGAGTGTATATTCTCAATCGCAGGAGCTGTTTGACGGTGATATGGCAAACAGTATGACTTGCGGGGGACCAGCCAAATTACAAGTTAGTGTTTCCTTCTTCCCAGACAAACCTGCTACTAAATTACTGGCCCGAAGGGCTGAAAGACCTGATTCGTCCAGGTGTGAAGCGATCCAATGTTTTTTCCCCAGACTGTGCCCATGGTAAGTGACGTCACTTACCGCTACACCACTTCCTCTCTCTCTTCTTATAGTTAGAAACCTGAATTTAATTACGCACGATATCAAAAGGGATCC